CCTCTCTCATCAGTGTAAAAAACATAAAGAACACTATATATATATATATATATATATATATATGTATGTATGTATATATATATATATATAGTCATTGTAACATCTTGGGTGTGTAAACAATAAAGTAGGTTAAAATATAGTATCAGTTAAAATATAACGTAATCAATAAAGCAGTTTTAATCTGCCGAGGATTCCCACTATATTCCCTGATTCCTGGTTAGTCATGAGAAATCCCGTCTCATCTGACTCCATTCCAGGAAAAACAAAACATTTCAGGTTAATTAGTGCTGACTGTGAAAAATGCCTTGCGTGTGGACGACTGTCAAACTTGTGTCAACCCAAGCCTAAATACTTCCTGCTGTACCCAGCTTCTCGACAACATCTCTGTGTGACTGAAGCAGCTGTGTCTGCCTGTGTGTGGGTGTGTGTGTGTGTGTGTGTGTGTGTGTGTGTGTGGACTGACCACAACTGGCTCTGTCCCGCTGCTCCTCCTGCTGTGTTGCCTTTTTTGAAACCTGCCTTTTCTTCTCTCTTTCTCTGTTTTCCTCCTGCCTCCGTCTACAGCTTGGCCTCGCAGTCCAACTTGCTGTTTGGCAGGGAGGACGGCCTCTGCTGGTACTGTACTCTCTGCACTTCAGTCACTCAGCTGTAGCAAACGCTGCTTTCCCAAAATATCTGCTGCTCAGAGGAACATCCAGCTGAGGGTCCAAACTTTAAACCAAAAACTTTGCTACTGGAAACAAAGGGAGGAAAAGTTTGGGAAAACCAGTTAGTTTGACGTCCAAAACTTTTTTTTTACAGGCAGAAATATAGACATGTACTTATTCTATAATCCTTTAAAAGAATTCAAACGTTTTTTTTTTCATAAGTAAAATACTTATTTTTAAAAAATAATTAAATTAATTTTTTTAAGGAAGGAAGAGCAAACAGATTAAATATCACAAGGATAGTATTTACTCTTTTGTCTAAATGGTAACAGTGAATAGAACTAAATGTAGAATGTAATATTTTCTTGTTCAAGAATGATTTCTTAAGCCTGAATTGGGCTTTATTTCATGCTAATAAGAAACTATTATTCATAATTCTTAACAATTATTCAATACATATATTAACAAATATAATAATAATATGATTGTACAAGAAATTATAGACTATAATATATAATCTCATACATCATACAGTACAGTGACGTACACACTAGTATTATAAAAATGTTAACAACAGGCTGAGATCCATATCTAAGTAGATTCACTCACACTTTTACTCATCCCTCTCCGTTGTTCTCAGGATGATAGATGAGATCTGAAGATAAAGCTTCACATTTCTCAAATAGTCCACACGGTTTATCATGTTTTGATCAAAATATTTGACAAATTGTCCAGATTATTCCAGCTTGTCTTCTGTTTATTTAACTACTGGACACGTATTTGCTTAGATTGGATCTCTGTTTAGATGTCCTGCCTTGTAGCCAACAAACACAGTTCCTAATGACTTCTACTCCATTTGTCCCTCAGTTTAACACGATGAAGTCAGCTCCTACTGGACTCCATCCCTGCCGGAGTTTTCATCTGGTTTTTATTAGCAGACTAATTTTGTCAATTAGAACTACATAAGTCCCTAGTTAGTCTTCATTTAGTTTTCTTCTTTGACGAAAGTTGAAGGTCGACAAATGAACACAACCTTTTATCCTTTTATCCTATCCTTTTTTTCCTTCTTATCCCAAATGTAAGAGAAACTAAGTTAATCTCATTTCATTTTAGTAAAACAAATGTTGGATTTGTTTTCTTTTACATTTGTATGAAACTTAAATGAAGGAACCACTGTCACATATGACATGTTTTCTGGAAACTAGGAAAATAGGGTTCAGAGTGAGTCGCCAACTTTCGACGAGTCAATTTGGAGTTTGGATCCTGTAGTAGAACGTATGCTGCAAATGAACAACAAAGGACTCATTTTAAATCGCAGTCATAGCATCAATAAATACATTAAGGTGAAAATAGGTTTAAAGTTTAGGTGCTACCAGGGTTAAGATGTTTTTTTAATTTACGTTCATAGCACAATATTTATTGTATCTGTTGAGCTTGTTCCTCAGTGAAGCAAAGCATTTTGGGAAACATGGCAGCATCATAGCACACTGCTCTGTACCTCGGTGTCTGCTTCTGGCTGTGCTCGCT